CATCTTCATCTACACCCATAACACCTCCAGGTAAATTTCTAAAAAAATAATTAAAATTCTAAGAAATCTATTGTTAACTGACACGCCGGCGTGTCCGCGGTCGTGTAGGGAATAATACATAGTAAAGCAAAGTCACCTCTGTCTGTTTTTCCTTACTTTTCCTAAAACACGCGAAGCTAACGAATTTTGATACGCTTTTTACTAATAGAAAGGACTTTAAACGAGGAAGTTTTGTGTATATATGTACATAATTTTTAAATATTTTGTATAAGATGACTGTGCTGGGTTTTGTCAAAAAAAATGTTTAAAAAAAAAAAGCTTTAAGAGATACATCAAAATAATATACTAGAAAATTATAGATCCTAACAAGGTCAACAGAAAAGTCTGGGATGGCATGTATCTAACTCCTAAGGTATACTGACAATTAGGCTAAATCGTTAGTTAAATTATGAAACAGTAAAAAATATATAATGAACATACATAAAAAAACAGACGAACGGAGACTCTTCTACTTTTTGGAAGTCGGTTAAAAAAGCTAGTATAATATATATATATATATATATATATATATATATAATACGAAGTTCGAAGATAAATTAACTTCTGCAGCTGTTTCCTCGAAAGACCTTTTTTCACTACGGATATTGATTTATTTTATAAATTAATATGTAACTTAATAAAAATTCGCTATCGTGAAAAAGTTGTTGTCATAGATTTTTATTTAATTACATACATATATAGGTCGATTGATATTATTTTTTTGATATTTTGTTAAGATTAATGTTAATTAATATAATTAATAAAGCGCTTAATATTTAATATTTTATCGGACTACCATATACATACATATATATTTATTATTTTACATATATATATGTTACGAATTAAGGATCTAATAAAATTAACCATTAATCAGTGTTCTTGAGTTTATAAAAATTTTAATGAGTGCAGTCACAATCATAAGTATTATTAAAAGTGTTAATAAAATTCAACGTGCGTTTCACTTTAAACGTGTTAAGCTCGGTTTTTTAATTATTTTTATTTAACCGAAGCTGCTGCTGTATTATTTTACTGAACAACTCTTATGTAATTGGTAGGTTATAGTTGAAAGGAAAGCGCTAATTGGTACCTTTTTATTTATTGCGAAGTGTTTTATGTATACACTAGCGGTTCACCCTAGCTTCACTTGGGTTCGGGAAAACAAAAACAAACCTATCCCACGAGAACCGTAAATTTTTCTGGGATAAAAAGTAGTATGTGTTATTCCGGACTATAATCTATCTCTGAGATATATTTCATCCAGATCCGTTCAGCTGTTCTGGCGTGAAAGAGTAACAAACGTTCATACACACAAACTTTCACATTTATAATATACATAAATATAGTATAGATATAGATAGTTACATAATATATTTGTATGTCGCAGGAATATTGTATAATTTATCAATTCTATATTATATTATTCTAATTTATCAATCAATTCAAAAAGTAATTGTCTGTTTATAGTTTGCACCTTAGCTGGTCCGTGTAATGCTGAAACCACCGATCTTCTTCGCGCCTTCCCTATTCTAATAACAATGGCGAAGTAATCTTTGCTCTGCCACATATTGAAACCATTAAAAAGAGAATTAAATAAATTCTGAAGGCAATTTACTTGTTATTTTGAAGCTAAGTCATTTGACAGCAGACAGCTATTATACAAAACAGCTCTGTTTTGCAAAACACCATAATAACACTTAGCCTGATTGTCATGGCGTTACATATGAATATACTGCTAACCAAGTTTAAATGTTGAATTTATGCGACCGAATTATGTCAAATTAGCGACTTTCACTTCGCTCGGGTGAGTCAGGTAAAGGCATCCTCATCAGGCAATCAAGTCAAGGCATCCAAATCAAATATATATATAAAGTATATAATAAATAAATATGTTGCTACATTAACACACAGCACCATCTAGTTCCATGGCAAGCTACGAGGCTTGTGTTATGAATACTAGATAGTTGATACACTACATATATATATATATATATATATATATATATATATATATATATATAATATGTATACTGACAACACTACCCTTTTGGCAAATTTTATTACTAATAGTAACCTTATTGTAATTTCAGGTCCAATCCATCCCGCCGTTTCTGCGTGAAGAAGTATCAAACATACAAACGTACAAAGTTTCTCAAATATAGTTTGATTAAAATTTACTTAGCTTACAACGATAACATAGGATTTGCTACAGTATGTAATAAACCAGCCAGTTTGTATTTCTTATATTTCTATATAAGGATTGGAAAATTACTATTTTGTTTTAAGAGTAAGCACTGAGCATCCTTACTAAAATAGTGTTAAACAAGTTTCGACATAGAAAACAATACCATTCATATGTACATATATACAAGGATATTTTATAAATACAAATAAAATAACAACAGACAAGTACGATCATTTAACCTAAATAATTCCTCAAACGCTAAAAATACAGAGCAGTTGAAAAAGGTAATTTGCTAATAAACCGCTTAAAAAATAAAATAAAATTCTACTTCAAAAGATTAATAACTGAGAGTTCCATCTCATTTAAAAGTTAGGACGGACTCTTTGTTGTAGCAAGTATGAATTTCTATTAAATATATATTAAAAACTACCGGCTCACCCTCGCTTCACTCGGGTTCGTCGCTAGGTACGTTTTAAATAGATATAAATAGTTATTAGCCAGCGTTAGCCATATAAATTTTTATTTTTTGGTTAATAATATTGACAAATATTGACATTAATATTTATACGATACTAACGTCACTAAATTGTTTTGCTTTCCCGGAACCTCTCCACTAACACTTAAACCTTATGGAATGGTATTAAAGTTCAAATTGACTTTTAAGTATTATTACGAATCTTTTGTATGGGAGTATAGAAAAGTGTTGTTTTTAGACTTTTACAGGCATTTTTTTAAATTTTTCTCTCCGTAAGAATCATCCCCGTACTTCAAGGAATATTCTAAAAAAAAGCATTAGCGAAATCGGTTCAGCTGCTCTCGAGATTTGCGCTTACCAACACATTCAGCGATTCATTTTTATATTATAAGATGTCTATCTCTTGTGGGCAGTGAAAGCCCTGTGATAATGCGCTCACTTAGAAAACTGACTAACTGTAGCGGGTTCAAATCTCCGTCTCAACTAACATCTAAGATACTCATGATTTTGCTATTGCTGATATGATGGAGGAAAAAATCATGAGAAACAGCTTTATAACTAAGGGAAAACTAAATAGTTCACGAAAGGTATTGTGGCCAGCATGGTGGGTTATGGTCTGATACCTAAGGAGTGGTTTGTATTCAGCAATGGGACGTTACGAGCTGAATTTTACAATTATGTTATTATTTTTAGGACTGAACGCAATAAATATACCTATCGTAAAATGCAATAATTATAGTATGTTATTATACCTATATAACATATTTTTTAAACGTTAAAAAAGCAACCGAGTGAAACTGGGGTTTGATGCTAGATTTCATGTGTAAACTCAAGCATTATTACTTTTCAACCGACTTCAAAAAAAGGAGGAGGTTGTCAATTCGGTTGTATTTTTTTTTCTTATTTTTTTATGTTTGTTAGCACAGAATTCCGTCATTTATTAACCAATTTGGACAATTCTTTTTTTGTTTGAAAGTGTATATTTCCGGTTTTTGAAGAGAAACTCCCGAAAAAATAAGGGTTGAAGAATAGACTTGAAACTTCGGAAGTAGTTCCGTTGATAGTGCGGTGATTCGGTATCGTCGAGCTGATCTGATAGTAAGAGTTCTGTCCTTACCATCAGATCAGCTCGACGATACCGAATCACGTGGTGGATAGTGGAATTCTGCAACGACTAATAGTAAATACTTTGAGTTTGTGTTTTTTTTATTTATCAAGCATAATACGTTGGAATTGGATTTTAGAGCTTGCTTTTTAATTGTTTGTTACTAATAAAAGCGAATTTTAGTTTGTCAATCTTCATATAAAGGTACCAAACTATCTTAAACGACTTAAGCGAACATTTTATTAAAATACTTTCTTCTTAATTTGCTACTCCTACGTCTACACTTAAAATGGGAAAAATAAAAATTTTGAAAATAAATAAATAAAAACCGACTTCGAGACACTAACAATTAGATAAAAATGACTATTATTGAGTTTAAATCTGTCGACATACTTCAAATTTTATGTTTTTTTCTGATTCTCTCGAAAATAGTTAGCTATTTGTCAAAGAAATTTTAAGAGACTACTTCATGATCTACCGTAATAAAATAATACAATACAGTTTAAAGTAGCAAAATCAGTCAAGACGTCTCCGAGAAATCAGTGAACACTAATAATAATAAAAAAATACAGACTAATTTAGAAGCGCCTCCTTTTTAGAAGTCGAAAAAAGGTGTTTATTCCAAATATGTAAAACTACAAAAAATTCGATAACCATGAATAAGGTTTTTGAATAAAATTACATACTTCTCAACTAAAACGTAAACCGACTTCAGAATTAAACTAATTATATTATAATTAATTCATGAGGTAGGTATATTAAATTTTATTAAAAAATAAAATTATAAAAATCGATCTAAGTTTAGCGAAGATTTTATTAGTAAATCCAACACACAAAAAAATCAACAATTTAACGACTTTGGGAGTATTTAACTCTACAACTTTTGGCTTGGATAAAAAATTCATTTAGAAACATCCATACCTATAGAGATACTCTATAATTGTTATTTATTATTTTTATTATTTCTTAAAAAAATTTTAGTTCTCAATTAGATATATGGAATGTCACTCCATTCTATTTATTTTTTTATAATTTGTCAATTTTAACATTTTTAGCTCTTTGTAATATTTAAATAAATATTTACATTACCAATTGCCCAGTAATAATGATTTTATTTTAAAAATACAACACAAAATATTCTTTAAAACCTTTATTTGCTTTCATCCAATATTACCCTTGAAAAGTGTAATCCTTTAATATAGACCATTGCATCCACATGGAGCTCGTCCTCCATAATTGGCTAATCCATTGCAACCATAGACTGAACGAGCCAGACCAGCTTCATAACCGAGAGAACCAGCACCACATCCTAAAACTCCAGCTCCATAGCCCAGACCTCCATAACCTAAGACTCCATCACCATATCCTAAAACTCCAGCTCCATAGCCCAGACCGCCATAACCTAAGACTCCATCACCATATCCTAGACCTCCAAAGCCATAACCAGATATGTCTTCAGATAAAATGCCAACCTCTCCATTACCACAACCATAAGCAACCGCACCAGCGCCCGCAGTGGGCAAGGCACCTTCCAGAGCCACTGTTCCCAAGAATGGCACTGCACCGAGAACTTCCAGAGCGCCTTCATAAACATTCTCGGATACTAATGACACACCATTGGGAGCAAATGGTGATGCACTTGAAGTTGGTAGACCACCTCCATTCGAAGCGGCCAGTCCTGCAGCGCTAGACGCGCCAATACCGTATAAACCACCTATCTGAGAATATCCAATACCGTTACCGCAAGGAGAAGCGTATGGGCCGAGTGTGCCACATGGAGTAGCAGCACAACGATTACATGAACCGATGAACTGTGCAGCTATACACTGTAATAAATATTTAATTGTTTTTATTAGACTATGCGTAAAAGGTTTTTAACATTTATTTTCTCTTCATAATAAAATATTACAAACTTACTTGAATGAGTAGTACTTGAGCACAGGCAATAAGAAGAACTTTAGACATCATGTTGTATGTTGTCAGTGACCGAGTAGCGAATGTTTTATTAGAAATAACGATGAGTTTTTATACTTAAAATGGCTCAATCATTATCAGTGCGTGTGTTGAAAATTAACAAATGCATATAAATATTACAAAAACGTACGTGATGTCCAATTTAACTATTTTTATTTTTCATCGTTTTATAGTAAAAGAGTAGGTTACTATGCAAAATAACATAATTTAGTTTTTTTAAAAATAGATAGGCAACGTTTGGATCTTGCAAAATGTTGATAGCACTAAAGACTTGATAATATGTCTAATATAAAACTACAGCATTGCTTTGTAAGTCATTGTAACAGAGAAGTCTTTACTAACTGTTTATTAATATATAAATTAGTAAAAAGCCCTAAAAATGAAAACTTTTGCATTCTTTTTATTGTGTGTTCAGATGTGCTTGGTTCAGGTAAGTAAATCGATAAAAATTAAACTAGTTGATATTTGTGAATATTTTCTTAACAGTCTCTGTTTTCAGGACGTGTTCGGTCAGTACCTACCTGGTGGTATCGGCTGCGGTGCCGGTCTCTCGGGTCCTAGGCCTTGCGGTCTATATTCCGGACTTTCTTCTATTGGAGATTATGGTTGTGGTAGCGGTATCGGAGCTCCTGGGGCATATCTAGGTGCAGGTCTGCTTGCTTCGGAGTCTGCTTACGGTTTTTCCTCAGCAGGAGCTTACGGCGGCTCTGGCATTGGTGATGTATTAGTGTTTGGGGAATTGCCTGTTGCTGGTTCCACACTGATCGGTGGACAGGTGCCTATCCTTGGCGCTGTTTGTTTTGAAGGAGCTGTCCCTGCTGCTGGATCGGTTTCTATTGCTGGCAGTTGTGGTTGTGGGTGCAATGGTTACATTTACTAAAAACCTTTCAAGCGCGTGATTGTAATGAAAAAATATATGTATTACAAATTATAATTAAAGGAATTGCAAAACATTTCATTATTTATTTAAACACTGTAAAATGAAAGGAATCGTTTTCAACCGACTTCCTCAAAAAGGAGGAGGTTCTCAATTCGGCTGTATGTTTTTTTTATGTTTGTTACCTCAGAACTCCGTCATTTATTAACAGATTTAGTCAATTTTTGTTTTTTTTGAAATTGTATACTTCCAGATTAGTCCCATTTAAATTTAAAAAAAAAATACCACCCCTAAGGGTGGATAAATAGGTAATGATGAATTTAACCTACTTCTTATTGTTATTTTGACTTGAAACTTTGCAACTGTTTCTATTTCCGTTGATAGTACAGTGGTTCGGTATTGTTGACCTGATCTGATAGTAAGGCCAAAAGTGGTGGATAGGTGGAACTCTTCAACGTCTAATAGTAGATACTATAATTGAGTATAATTAAGTTTGGGCTTATTTTGTTTGATTTGACAAATTTAACAATGACAAATTTATTAAAAAGTTTTTATTTTTCCCTTTTTAGTGTAGACATAGTAGGAGCAAAGTAAGACGAAAGTATTTTAATAAAATATTCGCTTAAACCGTTGAAGTTACTTTGATGGCAATTTTTATACGAAGACTTACAAACTAAAACTCGCCTTTATTAGTAACACTAAAAATTCTGGCTCTAAAATCCGATTTTAAATTTTCATTTACTATACATACATAATCAAATATTTTTGAAGTCGGTGCCAACCGCAAAACAAAGCACACCAAATACTATATATAAATGAAAACTACCAATCTGTTATTTTTTACTTTTTAGTGCTTTCTTTGAAGCCGGTTTTTATTTTTTTGTTAAAAGTTTTTATTTAAGTCCAATTATAATATTATAAGTATATTGCAAAAAATCTATCTCTGGTTTTAAATTAATATGCTATAAAAATAGATTTTAGGGATAAAATTTTAAAGATTGCAACCTATAAATATTTGTAATAATACAAAATTCATACGAATTAAAAAAAATCGCACAAGTGTAAGTCTGACTTGCATACCGAGGGTTCTGTAGGATAAAACATTAAAATAAGTTATAATTGCATTTTGTTTTTGTAATTTAACCATTTGGTTTTCGTATCTTACCCCATACTTGTGCTATAAGATATTGTTTCTTACCCAATTTCATGATTCTAGGTCAACAGGAAGTACCGTATAGGTTTTGATTTCCTTTTCCGATATATTTTTATTTGCATTATTGATTGCGTTGACTTAGAAGTTTGATTTTTACAGCTCCAAGGGATCGCAGGCCTTAGTATTTTATATTAATTTCAACTTGATACATACACGCATTCTGACAAAAAGGGTCTGGACAAACAGACAGAAGGACAATAAATTCCTTTTTTTCCTTTTGAGATACCGAACCCTAATTAACGTAATTTAAAATGTTTAATAATTTTTTGATTTTTTTTACGTCAATTGAGTACCCAAAAATATAGTCGCATATCTATCTATACATATAATAAAATTGTAACTAAGCCGAATCTATACATTAAATATTGTATGGAAAATCTTATCAAAATAAACATTGTTATCGATGCAGAATCCGAATCTATAGTTTTTAGAGTTTTTTGTCTGTCTGTCTGTTACCGCATCACGGAAAAACCACTGGAGGGATTTTGATGAGATTTGGTGTGATGGTAGCTGGTTATCCGGGTCAACATATAGGATACTTTTTACCGCGGAATTTTTTTTTAATTTCTGAAAAAAAATACAAAAACTACAAGACAGGAGTATACTAATATGTAAAACCTAAGAATTTGGTTGTTGGTCATCTGAATGCGGGCAAATTAGATCAGAGAAATATTTGCGCTATTAGATCACAGATAAATGCAAAAATTTAACTTTTTAACGACAAAATACCTAACTTTCTAACATTTTTACAACTGCAAGAACAATTTCAAATTTACCCCTTACTTGTTACCTACCATTTTTTTTCCTGCAAAAACGCAGATCTTAACAGAATAAAATCGCATCTAAATTTGTTCGGTAATTTTTAAGATATGCGATTATACATACAAATACCAGGACACCTTCGCCAATGACTTCCATTTATAAGAATTTTAAAGATGTACGTTACAATTATATACTCATTTTTTTTTTAATTTTGTAAATTATGCAATCAATATTAACCTATGTCAATGGCACATAAATTGTATAAAAAAATTAATAATGGTATAAATTCAATAAAAAAGACTATTACTCAGAAAATATCAGATAACATACTTATTTCATGCTTTTTTTCGATTTTCTCGAAAATAGTAAACTCAATAGTAAACATTTTTCGGGACTACCTCGGGATCTACCTTAATAAAATAAAGTTTCAAATAGCAAAATAGGTCAACACGTCTTTAAGAAATCGGTGAACATAAATAATGAAAAAATGCAGACTGACTTAGGAGCTCCTTCTTTTTGGAAGTTGGAATAAAGGTGCTACAATCGACTCTCGATAATTTGGCACTCGTTATTTTGAATCTCTCGATAATTTAAAATTTTCCCCCGTTTCCTTGAAAAATACTCGATAAATTAAATAAAAACAATATTAATTGGTCCACACGGTAACTTGAAGTTGAAGGACCGTATCTTGTCCACCAACATTCTATAATTTGAAGTCTGAGCTTCTATACTCTCTATAATATGAAGTGTTTTTCATGTACAGACCTAGAGCGTTTGTTTACATACATGAACAACAGACCTGTCGATTCACGATTTTTTACATGAATGAGATATGAGTGTGAGGTCGCAGTCTAGTTTTCTTTCAAACGTTAAAGTGGGTTCTGTTAATGTTTGATTTGTGTTATTAATTAAGTATCGATAATAATATTTAAATTAATCAATAAATTAAAGTATCAAAATGAATTCAAGAAAGAACAAGTGTGTTTCCATAAGTGAAGAAAAACGTGTAATTCAAGCTGTAAAGGATGGACATTGGACAATTAAAAAAGATGTAACTAAGTTGTTTGGCATTTTACCATCGCTAATTGAGCGAGGCAAGGAGATCTCTTATTATACTACGCTTCTACACCCTCAGAACCGGCGCAAGTGACGATTTCTTCTCAGTTCTCACCACAATGAAAATGGAATTCAGTCACTCAACAGAAAATTACGGAGTTCTTTTCAAAATGAACATTTGTGAATAATTGTATAAGTGTTTAAAATAATAAATCATAAATTTGGATGAAACTTTTGTTCATTTGATTTTTTTCCCTCCCTCTCTCTTGATTATTTTAACTTTTGTCATTTTAAACTCTAGGTAATTTTATTTTTTCTCTAGTCCCTTGAGTTTCCAGATTATCGAGAGTCGATTGTATTTTCAAAAAAAATAGGAAAAATTCCATAACTGTCGATAATCTATACTATACTATAATAAAACAGTAGAGGTCGAATGTCTGTACATAGCAAAGAAATGCTAAAAACCGAGTCCAGATCAGAACAAATCCAGTTTTTTTTTCAAATTGTTTGTTTCTCTGTCTGTTTGTCTGTTTGTACGGGTTAATCTCCGAATCTAGTGGACCGATTTACAACAATACAATTAATACTATTAATAATATAACTAATAATTTACAACATCTTAGATACTTTTTATCCCAGAAAATTAAAAAGTTCCGTGGGATAGTTAAAGAACTATAGTATCTTATACAGCTTAGTACACAACAACTTATGCACCTAATTTAGTAAAATTTAACATTCTGATACCTTATATTGCCGGTCAAACAACAGGTTACTTTTCATCCCGGAAAAATGAACGGTTCCCGTGGGAACTAATAGATCTCTAATAGTATTTTTCTAGTGGCGAACCCGAGCGAAGCGAGGGTGAGTCGCTAGTATAATAATAAAATTATAAAAATCGATCCAAGTTTGGCGAAGGTTTTCGTGTGTAAAACTGACACACTAAAAAACTACAACTTTGGCTTAGACAAAAAATTCATTTAGAAACATCCTATCCAGAGATACCTCACAAGTTTTAGTAGACTTAAAAAAAAATGTTCACCTCTCAGTTACATGTATGGAGTGCCACTCCTATTCTATTTATTTTTT